ATATATATAAGTTTTCGATCTATAGAAGTGCACTGAAGCTGCACTGTCACACGGAAGCTAAGTATTGGGAAGAGTACATTCTTTATGTGGGTAAAACAAGATATTCAGTAATGGCAGATATACAATACAATAGGCATATGCAGTATGAATTCAGAATGGACAAGTATAAACAAGCATGGCATCTCAGTAAGCAGCCAGTATTATTTTACCTTGTTCCCTGGAATTCCAAGGAGTTATACACCGGTAGAGAAGAAGTATTGTCAAAGTGATATACAAACAAAAAATATTAAAAGCTTTGGAACACAGGGCTCCTTCTGTCGCAAATACCAACAGATGAAATATACCTGAAGAAATAAACTAGTACCATGTTTCCCCGAAAGTAAGACCTACCCCGAAAGTAAGACCTAGCACTATCTTCAGGGATTTCTGTAATATAAGACCTACCCCGAAAATAAGACCTAGTTCGGTAGTAGGTCTTATATTACAGAAATCCCTGATAGCGCTAGATCTTACTTCCGGGGTAGCTTCACCGTATAATTACTTTTTACATGTCACGGTTGCAGCTCCCCCCCCCCGCCCGCCAGCACGCCCACCTTTCTGGCTCCATGGACGGCATTGGAGCAGAGAGCGGCCACAGCTCCCTCCCGCCCCCCCCCGCCAGACACGCCTCCCCGCACGCCCACCTGTCTGGCTCCCTTAACGGCAATAGTGCTGAGAGCGGCCGCAGCTCCCTCAATCCCGCCCGCCCGGCACGCCTCCCCGCACGCCCACCTGTCTTGCTCACTGGACGACAATAATGCTGAGAGCGGCCGCAGCTCCTTCCCGCACGGCCACCCGCACGCACGAGCGGAGATCAGAGAGCGGACAGCTGCAGCCAGGTACACATAAGACATCCCCTGAAAATAAGACCTAGTGTCTTTTTTCGTGGAAAAAAAAATATAAGACACTGTCTTATTTTCGGGGAAACACGGTATTCCAAAAGCTTGTATTTTCATTTCATTTTTAGTTTTCTATTAAAATGTATTACTTGCAATGTAATTTTAGTTTTTTTCTACCTATTTATGTTTTTCCTGGCTAGCCCAAGTTACAGTAATAAGAAATGCACCATGGGTGCAGCAGCTTTAAAAAACGACTTAGCTTCAAGGGGGGGGGGGGTTCTGAGATCAGGCGGATTTTACCATAGAAAGCAATCCAGCTCAGAGTCAAAGCAGCTAAGCAATGGGGAGGACACACTCAGTTTTTCCATTTTGAAAGTGAAAATAATGATGGCATGCAAAGTGCATTAACTAGATTTTAGTTACCTGTTATAAGAATAATGACAGATGAATTTATATCCACGGCTTATTGTAACTGTACATTACATGCTGTTCATTGCCATATTAAAGCGATGTTAAAGCCAACAGTTTTTAAGCTAATTCAGAAGCTGATTAAATCACTTATAATGGATGCTGCTCTTTGATGTTGTAAAGTTTTAGTTTCCTGCAGAATCAGCTGGTCCCCTGAGCGCTGGCCCTGAAATCCTGTATTGGAGTGGCTCCTTTCCCTTGCTGGGTCCTATGGAGCCACCCTTGTATGTTCTAGTTCGCTGTGTGTGTGTCTCTACAAACGCACAGACACAGCAAGGCAAGCCACTACCCTCTCCCTCCTTCCTGTTCCTCTCTCATGCCTTCTCCAAGCTAGTAGATTTACAGTTGCTATAGTCCGCTCTGTCCATTGTAATCTTGTACTAGACAGGCAGTTCAGGGAAGCGCTGCTGAGAGAGTTGGAGCTGTTCAGAAACATGATGATTGTAGGTTTTTGGGCAAAGATGTAAAGAAAAACTTTTCTGGGCAATGTATATTTGTTGGATCTGGTTTCATTTTTAGAGAAAAGTTTGAAAGTTTAATACTACTTTAAGTAAACACATTCAAACATGATAAACAACGTGATAAACCCGTATCAACCAATCAGATTTGGTCTTCCATTAATTCAGAACTGTTAAATGAAAAATGACTACTTTATTTGCTGTGGTTTACTGAACACACTGCTGTTTGCCTAATTGAATTATCTCTAGAGAACCTGGATCAGTGGCAATGTTGCCAAGATATTTATTCCTATTCAGTAAAGAGTAGGAGGAACAAAGTACTGATTCTAAAGTGCGCAACCTATAACAAGCCATGAGAATTCATCTGATAGATCTGGTTTCAGGATAGTGAATTGTGATTGGTTGTTACGGCTTTCTGCACTAAAGACATGGGGCAGAATTTATCAAAACTGGAGCAGACAGAATCTGGAGCAGGTGCCCATGGCAACCAATCAGCTTCTCTCTTCAGTTTGCAGGTAAGATTTGAAAATGAGAAAGAAAGCTGATTGGTTGCAGTGCAAATCTGCTCCAGTTTTGATAAATTCCCCCCATAATTATTTGCTCCTCACGCTGTTTGTATACGGCTCTGTTATTGGCCAGGTCCTAATGAAGACAGGTACACTGACTTCTTGTGTCTTTATAATTACAATGGGGGATACAGAGGCGCAGCTGCTGTAAATCTTGGTGCGGAGCCAAGGTGAGGAGGGACGCGTGCAGCTGTGTCCATTACAATAAATGCTTCTACTCCCCGGCGGCCAGTATTAATCAAAGCATTAGATGGCCAAATAACTGCAAAGCCCGTTTGGCCACTATCAACAAGGCTGACTGATTTTCTTTCTGGTGGGTGGAAGTATAAATAATAAATATTTGAGATTCTTCATTTAATATGCAGAATCTCATTTTACAGGGTTTGTAGTATAACTGTTGGAATTGCCTTGTCTCCCGGTCAATACCCTTTCACATTTATCTTTCCGCTAATAAACTATATAACCCAGTTACGCTACATAAAGCAACTTCCTACACACAGCGCACATTACCCAGTGCTTCCAATCCAACTGCATAGACTTCCAGCCAACACACAACATATGGCAGCGAATAAAACACAACATACTCTACACTGCATTGCCAGTTGAACGTCCAGGAGCCAAATATCAGCATGGGTAGCTCTCTAAAAGTATATTAAAGTACCTCGGAGCCTGTAAGGCAAAGCCAAAGAGATAAACTCTAATAAGAGCTGGTCATTACCTGCTCTGTCTCCTTATGCTCGAAAAAAGGCTTTTGAAGTATTCATTGTATGCTTTATTATGTGCGCTGGAAATGATCAAACTTTTATTTTTGCCATTGTGGTCTGTCTATAGTTGTCCGCCGCACTTGACGTAAGCACAACATTCTATTGTACGTACAGTTCCCACATGTGAACATTTTGCATCGGGCACAATGGATACTTCTAGAGGCTATACAGGGAGATATACAAAGATGGTTATTTTGCTGTCCTGTTGCCAAATCAGCTTACAAAAGGCACAGTAGAGCCTTCTTAAAAGATAAGTTATCCGTCTCACTTCCATCACAAATTCCAAAAATAAGGGGTTTATTCCTCATCCAGCGGTAGACCATTAACCTGTGGACAGTGTAACGGTAATGTTCAGATTTGCATTTGCTTCTCTGTCTCAGTTAGTCTTAGTCACTGTTACTATGCAGACAAGTGTTTGAAAGACCAAGTGCACAGCAAGATATCCAAGCCGAATCGGAGCAAAAATTACCAGGGGAACCTAATGAGGAGTCAATGGGGTCAGCGAGGCCACTGTCCTGAGCGTGCGTTTCAGAACAGCGATCTCCCAGTCTTGCTTCCAGTGGGAACAGAACTTATTCTGTCCAAGTGGTAGGATAAGAGGTAAGCAGTGGTCCATCTCCCCCCCATCCTACAATCCAGAGGCACAGTTGGAGAAGGGAAAAAGAAGAGATGAAAGGGAGAGCTAGCGCAAGCGAAAACAGGGGTAGGTAAAAATAAATGAAAAGAACCAAACAGCAGTGAAAGAAACAGCAAGCTTCAAAGGCAGAGAATTCTGTGAATGGGAAGATAAAAATAACATAGCAAGACATGACAAAGGGGCTTAGTTAAAGTGATGCAGAGGCACACAATCAATAGATTCCATTACTGCTTCGCACAACTGCAAAATCTTGCAGGGGAAAAATAAATAAATAATAATAATGAAATAAAATGAAAAGGGTGGAAAAATATGTTCACTCACCCAAAATCATGACTTCAGCCTGCAGGGTCTGGCACACACAGGATGCTATTCCTCAGATCTTGAGAGGAGGGGCTGTTCTCTCCTCGGCCCCCCTTTTCTTTGAGTTGGTTCTCAAGCACAGTGTCCCCTCTCTTCTTCCAGCAGCGATTGGAAAAGCCCTTTACCAGCACAGAGAAAAGAGAGGAAATGTTAGGGCTCTGACAGATTGTGCAGCAGGCGAGCCTGGGGGGGTGTGTGTGTGGAGCATAAGAAGAAGACTTGCGGATTTCTACTGAGGCTGTCGGGATGGGGAGGATGATGATGCCCTAAATACAATGCTGACAGGCCAGGCTAGTGTCCAATGGTGTGAATTGAAAGATCCCGGAGATGCTCAGAAAGCCCAGAAAGTCCTGTGTTTTTCCTATTTGTACACTGGGCTGAGGATTTAGGAAGGCAGCTGCAGGACTAAGAGATTACAGAGTTTTGGACACATGCGGAAGCCAACTCCTCGTCCCTTTCTGCTCAAGGAGAAATGATCCTGGCAGAATCCCAGCAATGGTTCACCCTAGTAGCTGCCTTTATTCAGAAATAAAGGGAGAACTCCCAGGCGAGGGAAAGTGTCTGCTGAGATGCGCTCCCTGCACAACGCCTCTGTGATCCTTCTATTCTGCACTGTGCCAGGTGAGGGGGCGGGGCTCCGTCTCACCTGGGCTGCCTTTCCATTGGCTTTTCTATTTTGCCAAAGGGAGGTAAGGGTGTGGAGAGTGCAAGCTATAGAATTAACTATTTTGTCTACTGCTTCCCTTTGCCTTCTGGACGAACTCCTGTATATCAATAGTGAGGGGGAAAAAAAGTGTCTCAATTCACAAAGCTAGCGCTCCAGGATAAAGGTCCTTATTTTCCAAAAATCAGTTAAGTCTAATGAGATTTAAAAATGATGGTTATGTTACCTCTGTTCAGAAATTGTAAAAAAATGACAAAAAGAGTTAGGGTCCATAGCGCATGTGCTAAGTTTGCTGCATGCGCTGATGCACATTTTTACGTGCGCTGAACTGCGGTGTGCTATGCTGCAATGCAGGGTTTTTTTCTTTTTCTTTAGCTTTTGTTTTTATGTTTCTATAGCAAAGTTTAAATTTTTTGCATGCGGCATTGCGTTACCCTGCATGGCCGCTGTGCTAAAAAAAAAGTAGAGCATGCTCTAATTTGTTTAGCATGGGTAAACGCAGGGCATCACAACATGCTGGTGTCAACTGGCCTCATTGATTTTCATGTATTTTTCACTGTTTTGCATTGCGAATGCGTTTTCAGGGAATACTTGCACTGGCCTGGCGAAATCGCATTGATTATGCTGCGTTTGTTTTAATAAGATCTTACTGTTGAATACCTACAAGGCAGATTGGCGGGGGAAGAGTTAACCAGGCTGCTGTCCTGTCACTTCCTATCTAAAGCCATTTTCTGACATGCTTTTATAATGGGTTATATAAATAATCCAGGGCACAATATTTGACATTCCGCAGCTGATAGCAAGCCATGAGCAATGCGCATCCTTTGCTGTGACTGCATTATCCAGCCTTTAACTAACCTGTGATTGGCTGTAATAGGCTCCTGGAGATCCCCAATGTCATTATAAAAAGCTTCTTTTATTGTCAGAATGTTTTCCTTTGTTCTGTCTAGCCCTGTCTGCGGTCTATTCTGTGTCTGCCTGTTCTAGCAGTGTTTCATCATTGTGGATCTGTAAAATAGTGCTGCCACTTTGTTCTCTGGGTCCATCTGTACGCCCACATGCTCCACCGTTCAGGATTCCACCTTGCACACCTCTGTGCACACAACTCTTCCTGTTCTTTCATGCTCCCGCACTGCTCCATCCTCTGTCTTCACCACACACCTGTGTGTTACCCTGACCCTCATGAGTGCTGGCATGGAGCTCCCATGACTGCTGTCATGCTTGTCCCCCTCCCTCCCCAGCACGCTGTGTGTTATCCATTCCCAGGCTCTTGCTGCTCCAGCCTCCCATTCAGTCAGTGCAGCATTTCCCCTCCCCCAAGTGAGTCAGTGACAAGTGCCCAGAATGTTAAACGTGCGAGAACCATGCTCAGCAGCACCGGGACCTCATAGGGACCGGGACATCAGAGGGACATGTGCCTATCACTGATTCTAGGTGTCCGGTGCCAGATCTGAACCTCACCTTCCCAGTGTGTGCTTCCTGATTTCACAGCATCGCTTCTGCTCTGCTTTGTGTCTTGCCTCGGTTTTTATTCTTGCATTTCCTATGTTCTGCCTCCGAGTTCCAGGGACAGGCTCAGATTAGACAGTAGTATTCATCTTATGTTCAATAATGAATCTGGATCAATCAAATATACATTGCCCAGCAAAGTATTTATTTACACTTTTATCCAAGCACTTACAGTTATGTTTTCAAACAGCTGACTCCAACTTTGCCAGCTCAGCTTCCCTGAACATCTTGTCCAGTATAAGATCATAAGGGACAGAGCAGTCTTCAGCAGCTGTCTATCTGCTAGCTTAGACCATGGACAAGGAAGGAGGGGACGGAAGCAGGGAGGAGGGTCTTGCCTTGCTGCGCCTGTATGTTTCTGGATTCTAAGTCATTCTAAGCTTGATGAAGGGGACCCCCGTGGCCCCGAAATGTTGCATACGTGTGATGGCAATATGTGTCAATAAATAGACATTTTTCTTAATTCTATTACGGTGTGCTGGTGACATCCCTAACGTGTGTTTGTGGAGATACACACAAGGGTGGCTCCATAGGACCCTGCAAGGGAAAGGAGCCACCCTAATACAGGATATCAGGACCAGTGCCCAGGGGATCAGCTGATTCTGCAGGAAACTAAAACTTTTAAACATCAAGGGACAGTAACCATTGTAAGTGATTGAATCAGCATTTGAAATAGCTACAAACATTTTGAATTTAATATCACTTTAAAGAGCTGCCCCTGGAAAATGTTGTCATTGCAAGATTGGAGAACTGAAAGTCAAAAACCCCAACTCCAGTCAAATATTTGCAGTCTTTTTAGCTGCATGGGGGTGAAGAATGAGAGGTTGTGGCACTATAGTGGCCGTACGGAAAGGGTGGGGGGACATGGTAGGGTTGCCACCCGTACGGGAATGACCCGGACAGTCCGGTTTTGGAATCCTGTGCCCGGGTACACTCCTTTGGCAGACCCGGGCACAGGATTCAAGCCTTGCCACTGTTCCCCTATTTATGAAGCCCAAACTCTAGCACATTACACACACTAGTTCTGGCCATGGTTGGAAAAGAAAGAAAGGGTTAAAATGGCTATAACACATTAAATACACTAGCCCTGGCCATGACTGTAACACATTATATACACAGGCAGGCAACCTTGGCACTCCAGCTGTTGCAGAACTACAAGTCCCATGGGGCATTGCAAGCCCCCAGCAGCTGCAGTCATGACTCCTGGAGGGATGACAGGATTTGTAGTTCGACAACAGCTGGGGTTCCAAGGTTGCCTACCCCCTGGAAGCCATGGTTGGCAAAGAAAGAGATGAAATATATGTGTCTCATTAAGGAAACTCCCCTTCACTTCCTGTTCTATAGACTCACTAGGAAGTAACAGGTTAGCTTCCCAATGTAGAGGAAAACCCCTCTCAGACAGTTGTCACAGGGACAAGTGTCCCCTTCGGAAGATTTCCGCTCTGGTGGCAAACCCAGATTTTGTAGTTACATTCACTTTTATTCCAGGTGACTTGAAAGAACAACTCTGGGTAAAAAATGTTCTTAGCCCTTGTAGTGGGGCTGCCCTGCACTGCAAGGGTTAAGTGCTCATTTATGTCTAGGTTAAAGTTATACTCACCTGATCCTCCGAGCTGGCTGGCTGTGACAGTGCTCCCTCCAGTCTGTCTCCTCCTCCTCTGCAGCAATGCTATGTCGCTCTGCATCCTCATGTCCTATACACTATTTATAGAATGACTCAGGGACCTTAGAGCACTGCAGCAAAGGAGGAGACAGACTTGAGGGGGCGCTGTCACAGCCGGCCATCTTGGAGGATCGGGTAAGCATACCATTTTTGTTTCTGAACCTGGACAAAGACAAGTATTTAACCCTTGGCGTGCAGGGGGTAGCCTCACTGTTTTTGTTCAGAAAATGTTTACCCAGCGTTTGCTTTAATCAGCAGATCAATTAGAATAAATGATTCCTCCTAACAGGGACAATGACAGCAATATAAACTTGGAAAAGGTTCTACCTCCTCATTCGTCATGTTCCTTTTGCTACGGTGTATATTTCTGGAGCCTGGATAACATTCTTGCTGTTTATCCTTTTTGTAGGAGCGTGACATATAAGCAGTGATTGAAGGACGGTATAAATATAAGGAGGAGGATATGCTTGTACTGCAGGTTGTGCCCAGTCAGCATCACCCTCACAGACATCAGCAAGGTACCTCCACACATAATATTCCACTTCTGACATGAGATCACATCATCTCAGACTCCCCACTACTGGGGATCCGGGGGGACATTGTTTATAGAATGTGCTAATTGCTGATAGAACTATGGCTGGGGAGTTCATCAAAATAGAGAGCTCGTTTAATACCAAGGCGATAATAGTATAATGGTAATACTGTACGATGCACTACAATGGTCTATATTGCTACTACAGGGACACAATCATATTACAAAACATTACTGGCTAGAGACGCACTTTAAAGTCTGAAGCTGAAACCTTTTTTTTACCAGGGTTATTCACAGAAGGGTGAAGAGTTTGGAGAAGGCAGGAGAAGTGAACAATCAATCAAGACCAGACAGTGTTTGCAACCTCACTCTGCCAATCCCTCCACTGGCTTCCAATAGCCCATAGGATAAAATTCAAAATATTAACAACCACTTATAAAGCCATCCACAACTCTGCCCCCGGACATATCTCAAACCTGGTCTCAAAGTATCACCCTAACCGTTCCCCCCTACCACCCACCCCGGTAAGATACACCCTAACTGTCCCCCCCGCTCTTCAAAGACCTTCTCCTGCTTTCCAGCTCCCTCGTCAACTCCTCCCATTCTCACCTCCAGGACTTCACTAGAGTCTCTCCCATCCTATGGTACTCTTTACCCCAACCTCTCCGACTATCTCCCACTCTGACTGCCTTTAGGCGATCCCTTAAGACTCATCTCTTCAGGGAAGCCTATCCCACCTCAACCATCACGTTCTCAAACAATCCATCCCCACACACCTACTTCCTCACGTATCACTTGCCCCTCCCTTTTAGATTGTAAGCTCTCAGGGGCAGAGCCCTCCTTACCATCTTGTCTTGAATTGTATTGTAATTTTAATGTCTTCCATATATTGTAAAGCACTGTGCAAAGTGTTGGCGCTATATAAATCCTGTATAATAATAATAATAGGACAACATAGCTGAACTGGAAAGTGAGATGCATTGGAGAATATTTCCAGTTCAGCTATGTTGTCCTAGATTGTTCCCTTCTCCTGCGTTCTCCAAACCCTTCACCCTTTTGTGAATAACCCTGTTAGTGTTGGATAGGACATAGAGGGATTGGACACCATGTTAGGTTTTTATTGCATTCTGTGTCCCCGTTAGGGAGATTCACCCTCCATATTTGTCCTGGAGACCGTTATCACTGATAGCAAAAGAAAATTCAAAATTTTGTCAGAACAGAAATAGATGGGAAATCTTCTAATGGGGACACTGGTTCCAGTGACCACCAGGGATTTCCCTGATTTTGGAGGGATTTCCTCTCACTTCCTGTTCTGGCTGTTGGACAGG